TCCACCCAGGCTACACTAGGGCCAGGAAAGGGAAATGGGGATGAGGAAGGTGATTTCAAGTCACCGTTAGCATCTCCTGTTGTGAGTCTGGCCAGTTCCCAGCTGCCTGAACATCCTGAAAGCCCTGTGAACTCACACTCCATCACCTCTGGCTTGGGGTTTCTTCTATCACCAAGAAAAGCAGTTAAAATTTGGAAAAATTATGTGAGCTACCATGGTCAAGAGAAAAGAAGCAGGATTAGTTCATGAGCAGACTAGTACAGCTTTTGACTCAAGTCCTAGTTACAGGACTGGAGAGAGAAGCACATTCAAAAGTGAGATGTAAATTTTCACATACCCTTGACAGGGTCAAGCAACCCGGAAGGTCTTGTAGTTTCCCCAAACTGGACATCTCTTTAGGCCATGCTAATTCCACTTCACACCTCAGAGGGCCGTACAGCACATTAGAGTCATTGATCCCCAAACAAAATATTTTCTCTTAAAAGCAATTAATGTATGGACTTGTACTGAAGAGGTCCCTCAAGCCTAAGTGTCTAAGGATTTTTCATGAGTTCTGCCATGCTAGTACCCCACACTACTCTCAGGTTGGATCTGAAAGGGGCGTTTCATGTAACCTTGCCTGTCTAGGGCAGGGGTGGCACACCTACACAGAGCCAGCATCAGCTCTGCTGTGGTCTGCCAGGGTGCCCTAGCACCCTGCAGGTTGCTCCAAGAGCTTCTGGCAGGGAGGACAGGAGACATCCCCTGTCCCACTGTGAAGGACCACAGGCTCCCGCAGAGGACTAAGCCCAGGCATAAATGTCACATTTCAACTGCTTTTAATCAAATCTTGCTGTGAAAGCAGCAAAGGCAGTCAGTCATAATCTCTGTTAGGAGGTTGAACTCAGAATTATTTGAAACAAGTGCTGGTACACAAGCCAGATACCTTTCAATATCAAGAGCACAGACATAATATATCAGGTATCACTTTACAGAGTGAGTTTTAAATACATTCTACATGTTGAATTGTATATTCCCATACTCAAATGGATAGCACATTTAATGAGTAGCCCAGGTGGCTACTGTAGATTTGATTTAAAACAAGATTGCCAAGACCAGAACTTATTTGCCAAAAGTCTCTTTGGGTGCTCCCTTTATAACACTTCAGCTGCCCACCATTACTGAAGCAGAAAAATGTCACATAGAGGATATATACTTATATAAACTCCCAAACTGTTTTTTTCCATCTATACTCTGCAGTATAGCTGCTCTGCATTTGGAGATGCTCCAGACCAAAAAGAATTAATATTGCTTTGATCCCATAAGTTGAAAAGAAAAACCCTCTGTGTATACCTGGTCCATGATTGCTATATGTAAATCAGATACACAAACCAAACCTCTCCAAAGTGGTAAAGAAGCAACCAAAATTTTACCAAACATAATCTGGCAAAATCAGATAGATATTTTATGTGTCTGCCAGTCCCGTAAGTATGTTAGGTATCTATAACTCACACATCACCAGCACTTTCAGGTAAAACTGCAGGTAGTATGTAGCTACAAGACACTGTGAGGTTACACTTTTTAAACGGAGTGATGCTTTGAGAATTTCACTTTTAATTTCATTAAAATATGTCATTACTTGTAAATTACTTTAGGAATGAGTGAAAGAGTTGGTATACTTAGAAGAGCAGGCAAAGAAAGCAGTCAAGTACATCCAACATTGTTCACAGGTGCAGAGATTTGAAAAAAGTTTTAAGTCATGCTTTATGAAGAGATCTAATCAGTGAGACAACAAATTATGATGAGGTAATGCAGCAATCTGTTTAAAAACGGAGTAACATTCCTTACTCATGGGTACAATTTGATATTCGGGTATTCAGAATCTGGTCATAAACCACAGATCTCCTACGTGCTCCTCCAGCAAGGAAAACACTTAAAGATGGGTACGATACTAACAAGAAACAGAAGTGACAGCTTAAAAGCTCCTACTAAAAAAAAGCATCAAGCACCTGACAAATGAGTTGCTCCTGATACAAGCCACTCTGCAAAACATTCTCCCTCACTCCACAGTTATGGTGAGAGATCAGAATGAAACAGCACAAAGGCATGGTACATGTGAATTGCTTTGCCTTTTCAGTGGTGAACAGCAGCAACTACTGGTGGTTTCCAGCCAGTCACTGTAGAGGCCAAACTGCCCTTTGAGTCTGTGCCAGGCAGCCCAGATGTCACCCTTCCATAACGAATAGGTGAGCATGAGAAGGTGTCTTTTTACTGAGACAGGATGAATTGATTAGACAGTTGCTGGGGAGGATAAGATGACATCAGATGCGGCTTCAAGTCACACCTACTCTGGCTTATGGGTGGGCTGTTGCCACCCGGAGAGGTCCTGCTGCACTCCTTGACCTGCAGCAACAGGCTTCCTGCCCTTCTCGTGGGCTGGACCCAGCTATTGGACCCGGGGGATGTGGTTCCATGAGCTGACCCAGTGGAAAATTACATGGGTTTTCCTATTTTTGGCAGGTTAATTTTCCATTAGCCTGCTCTGCCACTCCATAATCAATTGATATGACTCAAAGGAAGCAACAAGAACATGTGGCTAAGGGCAAGATGGATCGAGGCCACCCTTTCCATGGGAGCCTGCAGTTACATCAGATTAAATGTTATGTGAAACCAGTGTCTGCACTGGTCACGGTAAGGCTGCCTCCATGAAATACACACAGCATAGACCTAAACAGGCTTCCAGCCTGACTCGCAGCTTCATGCTCCTGTGCTGTGTCCGAAGGCATGCTGGGGTCTGTGTGGTTTGAACAGAGGGTCCTGACCAGAACAAGTCCCACAAGATATGCTCCCTGTCTTTAGCCCCTCTGCTACATGCTTTTTCTCTCGACTGCCAAATACTGAGACAAATAAGATGGCTTTAGTTCACCCCTGATTTCTACAAGGGCTTCATCTTGTCAACACAAGACATAGCGTGGATGATCTCTACTTCAGGCAGTGAGATAAGGCATAGATACGAAAGGCAGCTCAGTGGGTTACGATCCATAAGTGTGATCCCTGACAGAAACCTAAATACCACTTCAGACACAAAGAAGGGACTTCCTTTGGTTACCATTTCTGATTACCCCTCTTAAAGAAACGTTTAATTTTTTAAGGTGTTTTTTTTTTTCTTCTATTATATATTGTTACCATGACTGTTATGTCTATGAATTCTTTCTCGGTCTATAGTTCTTGTGGTCAGCCACAGAACAATTCTGATAGCCTGCTGGATGCCAAAGGGAAATATATCTGGATTTGGCTAGCTGAAGAGATCTTCAAAGTCAACTTTAAGTATCAGTGCAGATGTACACGGTGGCTTCTACAATTACTCCTGATGATCTGCCAGAGGACTGGTGTGTGAGTGTGTCCAAAGATGGACTGGAAGAGAGACGGGGGTAAAGACTAAACCATTTATGCTCTGTCAGACAGAATGAGCGTTGCTGAAAGAAAATAAAATATCTCTCTCAGACCACACTGTAGCAAAGTCCCTTTGTTCCTCCAGACGAAACATGAAGTAGACTGACGGTTCAGGGAGCTTCACCCTTCATCCTGAGTCCCAGTCCCATCTCTCCAAGCAGAGACCAGCCAACTGCAGCTTTCATAGTGTGGTCAAGAGAAGCGAATGCTGAATTTTGGAGAGCTAAGGCAGAAAACTGCCTGTTTCTTGTGCTTTTCTAGAAAGCCAGCTACAGACAGCTGTATAGGTTTAGAAATTACCTATATTTGCTTCCTTCCATAGATAACCCCTGGTTTCTCTCAAACCAAAAATTAGGGCATAGCTTTTTGTTTTGTTTTGTATATATTTCTTGTTCGGTTTGTTGAACTCTTGCTCCTTACAGCACAGATATGTGGTAAAAATGCATGCTATATGAAGAAAACTTTCTCACACAAGATGTGCAAAACTTGAACTGAACTCCTGATCAGGAACAATTCCTTAGATCTGTCTATCATGTAACCAATAATAAGTTAGGAAAAATAATTTTCCTAGAGTTGAAGCTCCAAAATATTCATTTGCAATTCAGTGAGTACCATGCTGTTTAAAATAGAATGACTACATGTCCTTTTTTAAAAACACTGCAATGAATTGTCTTTAAATTCTCCCTGAAAGACAATCACATTCAGATGTTCCTTGGCACCAGTTAGTTTTAATGCAGCCGTTTCAAAGGCATGTCTTCTTCAAATAGCATGGTATGTTATATAAAGTTATGTGGCTATTGGAAGGGAACTCACATACTGCATTGAGATGAAGGTCCAGAATACTACTGCGATACTTAGCAGCAAATGCTAAATCACAGTTCAGTGAGGTCACATAATCAAATTGCTGATTACCCCTTTTACTACGTTTGACTAATAAATCTATGGAAACTAGAGTCTGACAAGTTCATCACAGCATTTTAACTTTTCAGTGGTGCATGTAGAATACATATACATATGGAATCTTAGAAAATAATAAAAAAAAAGGAAAAGCAGCAGCAAGGCTGCAGTCAGAATGGAAGAAAAAGTAGTCTTAACATCCGATGCCACCAGGCTGAAAAGTTACGCTGAAAGATGTGCCTTCAAATTTTTAATTTGAACCATTTCAACTGAAGTAAAGCAATTTATCATTTAGTTCCAGTGAACACTTCAGACATTTCACTGCATTATGGCTGGGAAAATGTTCAATATGTTTTCACTGCAGTTCCACAGGTCATTGGCATGGGCATAAGCCAAGCCCATACAGTTAAGATTATTGCACACAGCTATTGGTCATGCAGGTAGCTCTATGGTAACCAACAGCATTTAATGCATAGATCATACGGTTCCATCGCCTCAAACACAACTAAAGAACCCTTTCCTGTACAGACACAATCCAAGCAAGTCTGCACCACTCCACCAGGCTGTTAATTGAACTTTTTTCCACCAGGATTCAAAAGAAGGAGAAGGTTAAGGGAACTCACTGATATAGCAACACGGTTGAATGCAAACCTATGCTGCAGAAGACTTACCATCATCCAGGTACATCTGGTCCAATTCCTCAGGTTCTCGCTTGATCATAACAGGAATAGGGGCCAAATTATGATTACTTTCCTCATGCAACTCTGGCAATGACAGTGGTTGCAGTGGTTGGGTTGTTGGAGACTCATTTCTGTGAACCTTCGGCAGTTGCTGCTGCTGTTGACCCATTATGGATGAGTGAGTTGGACTGCAGGACTGCAAATAGGTTGGCTCTTGGGTAACAGATGGAACTGGAGAAGAGGGACTGTTGGGATAGAGTGTTTGTTGATAACCAAGGGGACAGCTACTGCTCAGATGTTGACTCACCTGCGGCTGCAGCATGATGTGAGATGATTGCTCGGGGGAGCTTGGGTGCACAACTATAGACCTTGGCACTTCCTGTATGGTGGGGACACCTCCAGTGGGCTGCTGAAGTCCAAGGTGACTGTGGCCCGGGTTGGGGATGCACTTGTAAGGAGAGGACGAAAGGTCATGCAGCTTGGGGCTTGCATTGGGAGAGGGTGACATCACGGCGTTCCTCTGCTGACAGGAGGCAAAGCCAGCCACGAGGCACGAACCAGGGTCAGGGGGCATCATGATCTGCTGGCTGTAGTACGGTTTAGAGAGAGGGCTTAAGCCTTGGTTCATTGGTCCACAGGTTTGAGCAGGCTCATAGTCATCTGTGGGTTCTGTTTTTATAATTGGAACTGTTAAAAGAAAAAAGTTTTAAATAAACATGAGTTGCGTATTGGTATGATCAAGTTGGCTTGTGGCTAGGATACCCTTTGCAAAACAAACAATGTCTTGAATAAGACTCTGTGTGTCTTTTGCCTAGTTCTCCCACCCTATAAAAAAAAAAGAATGAGTCATCAGCACAAGAAAGTCACAGCTGGTTCTAATATTGAAAAGTACTATTTTCTTTGGACTCTCCTCCAGCACTAATGTGCTATAAAAATCTATTTGCAAATAGTTGTGCTTCAGTGGAAGCTCTGGACCCAAGGGCTCCATGGATTTGTAGTAATCAAAGCAAGAATTTTAACTTGGATATACTACTGCATTTCTACGGCTACTGATGGCCCATTTGATAAATGTCTGCATATTCAGTAAACTGAAGGATAATAAGGTAGAGATGGGGTTTTCAGAGTTCAGTGAAAGTAAAATTGTAAAGATACACAACAAGCCACTATGTCGAAGAAGTTTTCAGTTGCAAGGGTATTATTGAAAGACTAGGCTTTGATTTATCTAGTTTTTACATGATTGTGTTTAATCTTACTAACCAGCCATTGGTTGCACAATATTCAGCAAGTTGCATCCAACTCTCAGTGATGTTAAGTTGAATCCAAACTGTTAATGCCAACTCCTAACAAATGTTAATTCAGTTTCTGGATACCAGGAAAAACTGACTCCTATTCTAGACCTCTGCTTGCTCTGCCCATTGTCCCAAAAGAGGCTCTAACTGAGCTGCCAATCCATGTCTCTGAATACCACTAGCACATGGACAAAATGACTGTCCATGAACATCAACTCAGTCATGACAAACACAGAGCTGCTTTTTCAAATAAGAGAAGAGATCCTTCCTCAAATCAAAGTGTCTTTTTCACAGCAGTTTTCTCCCTCAAATCAGAGCGAGATGCCTTTGCTGCTTCCCCTACAACATATGCAGTGCACAGAGAAAAGACAACCACTTTTCCTGTCAGGAAAATTAAAAATAAAAGGGCCAAGCTAGTCTGTACATGTATTTTTTCTAGCCAGATGCAACTCTAATGCCTACAACAATTGAGTATGGATGCAGAGTGGCATTTACCTTCCTTCCCCCCAAAAAATCCACAGGTAGAGCTGCTGCTTGAAGCTGCTGTTGGAAGATTACAGTGACAACAGAAAGAATCTTCCAGAATATTAGAATAATTAACCTGTTGTAGCACAAAGTTATTAATGAAACAAATTGACACAGCTCGCTCAGAGCACGTGTGCTGTGTGAGTCTCTGTATTTTTATTTGCATGTGTTTTACAAACAACCTTACACATTCTCCAGCCGTTTGCTATGTGCATGTATGAGTCTTTTGAACCCCTACAAATGCATGTCTGCATGTGTTCATATACAACCTCTTTTAATACTCACAAATTTTGCTGCTGGTGCACTTCACTACCCTTGTTTTACAGTCCCCTAGCCTCTTGTTAACTTTGCTCCTTTTATGTTCTTTTACATATAGATGCTTGCAACACTTGTTTCAAGATTTCTAGCACCCCTAGTGAAAACACGTCTATATATGTAACAGATGCAGAGGTGCTGCTCAAGACAAATGTGCTAAGGATAATGGACTGTCATTGGATTCCTCATAATCTTATTTTCACCTGCTCGTGTGCTCCACACTGGCTAGCCGGGCTACTAATGCACTTGGTTGCAAAGAAGCAGATTCCAGGTTCAGTGACAGCTTTACAAAGCCAATATCACACCCTTTACGAAAATGCAAGACCAAAGAAACGCACCTAGACAAACATAGCAGCTCAGATATTGTAAGAAAATACCTTTAACAAGTTCCTGAGCTAGCAAATATCCTCACATGTTTTATATTAGATTCACTGTACTAGCACTAACCACAGCACAGCTGGAAATATGATGGTTGTTGAACACTGAATTTTCCCAATATATCACTGTTATAGAAACACCTGTGCTAAATAATTCCAAGCTCAACCACTGGCAATTCAACTCCAATAAACCTGGAGTTGTCTGACTTGTTATAACCTAGGGAAAGGTTATACAGCTCTGGTGGCAGCAGGATGGAGGCTTTAAAGAAGGCAGGTTCCTGATCTCAGTCTGATTTTTCACTGTAGCTCTTCTACAGCACAACTTTGCTACTTCATTTACCAGGCAATTTTTTGTCCCTTCACTTTGAATTTTTGTTTTTATAAAAGCAATGCCACGGGCTCTACTTGGAGGTCTGATCAGTGGCCATGAACATTGGGAATCTGTTATCATATGCTGCTACATCTAAATGCACCTGCTGCAACCAACAGAGGATAACCAGTAGGTCTTGCTCTGCACTGGTTGAAAGGACTCTACTTCAGACCTGTTAGTCCAAAAACTCTCTTGGAGATGGTGGCAGCAACCAAGGACACTTCTGACTCCATAAATTTAGAAGAAAAATAGAGACTGGTGTTGATTACAGGACCAGTTAGGGTAATTCACAGTAGCTTGTTTGCTGATGGCAGGTTGGTAGCCAGAGAGGGAAACAAGAAGGAAGGATATGGGATTAAGTGGGACCTCCATTTTACTTAACATCTGTTCACACTGTCCCCTTGTATTGCTTTGAACTGATACTCCTGAGCATAAGGTAGTTCATAAATGGGAAACAAATTATCTTTAAATGGACAGATACTACCTGCACTTAGGCTTAGAGATGTCTGAACTTGTTCAACTGAATTGCCTCAATTACCTTTTTAATGTTTTTTCAGCACTAAAATAGTCTCCCCTTACTAAGGACTATGTATTTGTTTGTAGACTAGATATCACACTGAAAGACAGAAAAAGTATTAATGCTGAACTGGCGAAGGGATTTGTACCTGAATTTTCAGTGCTTTCCCATTTGTATAGCCATTTAAGGCTGTGCAGAGTAAACATATGGATATTACCAAGGTGGGATGGCAGCCACTCACTCCCCTTGGAACAAGTGTAAATGTCTTCACAGGATACCAGTTTGGAGAATGAAGCTCTGTAGGATCTTTCTTAATTTTTTTTTTTCTGGAGAAACCATACTAACGACCAGGACTAATGAGCAGGAGCTGTGGCTATTTCAAGGAACACCTTCCAAAACCAGTGCAGGAACAGCTTGTACATGTACTCCCTGACTACCCACTTACCATCACAGTGTCTATGGTGTAACTCAAGCTAAAATACTTGCATGTAACAAGGCTGCCAGTTCCTAGCACAACCTACCCACTGTCTCACTGACTTCCTGAGACCCTCAGCTGGAGCAAGCAGCTGCAGCTTACCTAGAGCAGCTAAGGACACAAACCTCACGTGCCCACTTTCACAATGTTCTCCTAGGCAGAAACCCAGTAGGTTCCTCCAGAGCAGCCAGGGCAGATCACCAGCCAGCCATGGACCAGCGTTACCGCTTACCTATTGACTCATGCTTGATTAGCTGCAAATCTTCAGACTCCAGCTAGAAAAAGGGGTTTCATTCTCAGACACATCCCTGTGGAGTCATGACAAGCTAGCTGCTAACACATACCCATTTCCATTGTCACTCACTTGCACAAGTGAGTATTTCACACAGGGAGATGTGACATGATACAGAGAGTACAGTTAATTTTCTCAAGATTAATATTTTACGGGGAGTATTATTAATATGACTAACTTCTGGCTGAGATATGCCAATCTTAAATGACTTGGCAAAAACCTTCCAGCTGAAACAGACACTCCTAATTGCACAGCAGGCCTGGACTGGCAACTAGCTGGAAAACCCTAGAGCTGTTCAGAATCTACAAGCACGTCTATCAGAAACCAGACTATTTCTTAAATTTAGCAGAGCCATATAAATGGCAACAAGGATTCTGTCTCAAAGCTGCTCCATGGTGCTAGCAACCAGTCCTGCAGACTTTCAGCTGGCTAGAATGAAAAAGGGTGGCTGAATTTGCGATACAAGATTTGCTAATAATAAATTGCAACAAAGAAGCCAAAACTTATGAAACTGTAAACAGAACAGCTGATGCAGTTTTCACATGCGTGCAGACTCAAAAGCAATGCTACTTGCTTAAGAGACACTACTCTGCTGAACGATCAGGCCCTTGCCATGAAAACAAAAAAAAATAACACATTTGTTTTGTATGGTGAATTGTTAAGTGCTTGTCACTCCACAATGCATTATGCTGGCCAACAGATGATTTTAAATAGTCCCTGATTTTGAATATTGAAATATGAGAGAGCTCATAGTGCTAAATTAGTCTGATATGCAACTTAATCTGTGCTAATTAGTTTTCAATGGTTCAACGATGGCTTTTTAGACTGTGGACTCATGTCATTATGTCATCTAATTTAATACGAAGTTCTGAGAACCATGCATTGGCAGCAGCCCTAGCTATAAATCAAAGCTTCTTACCCAGAGAGACCAGGGTTATGACATCATACCGAGGCACTGGGCATAAGACAATGGTCCTTCTGTGTGGGTCTGAATCTGGGAGAAGTATTTCAGCCAGTTCTACAAGCCCACATTTAAATGAAAGGCCTTTCTAGCAGGTAAAAAGTTAATATATCAAACTTGAAGAAAAATAATAAATCATGCACATTCAGTAAAGGGAGTCAGAAAGTGCTTAAATATAAATTATATGTATTTTTTGACAATTCTAACAAGTCTGTTTGCTTTTACACTTTAGCAATCCAGATGGGGTTTTAAACTTTTTTTTTGAGGGTACTATTAAAATATGTGACCTGAGAAAAATATAATCATATAAATTAAACAGATGTTCAGCCTGATTAACATTAAACTAACAAATTCCCATTTCCACATAGTATTATCAATGCAGACATTTATAGCACTATAATATATTTATTTTACCCTTAAGTTTGATTGAAGCTATCAAAGAAAACAGCCACCTTTCACAGTGCAGACTATGATGTAGTTCCCTGGCACCGGCGCACAGATTTTGGTTAGCATGTGAAAATCAAAACACTACTTTTTTCATCATGTGCACACACGCATTTCTTCAA